CTGCTATTCCATCTTGTCGCCTCTTTGCTCGCTTGCTAATAGGTGAGTTTTCTGTGTGTATAGATACTCTTAAAAACAATACAGCTTTATACAATACTTAAACTGATTTGTAGTTTATTTGTAGTTTTTTTGAAGGAATTTTGTAGATGAAGAGAAACTTTTGTAGTCAAAATTTTTTTTCAACATAGATTGTAGTTTAATTGTAGTATAAATATAGTAATTTTGTAGATACCCTTAAAAGAAGACATATTGCAGAAATTGTAGATAAATTGTAGATAATTTGTAGACTGTTTTTTGCAGAAGATTTTGTAGAAGTTTTAGTCGTTTTTTATTTGTGAAAACAGAAAACAAAACACCTACAATTAGAATACAAATAATCTATAATTTATCTACAAAAAAGCTACAAACTGGGTACGTTGAATTTTTATATCCCAATTCCCATCCAATTGTAGCATAATTGTCATTTTTGACATAATTGCGTTTTTTCAGAAGATTTGTAGAAGTTTTTACCGTTTTTTATTTGTGAAAGAAGAAAATAAAGCATCTACAATCAGAATACAAATAATCTACAATTTATCTACAATGTATCTACAATTTCTGCAATATGTCTTCTTCTTCTTCTTCGAGTTTCAATATGAAATTCAGTCAAAACCAAGTCTAATCTTCACCAAAACCCCTCAAAATTGGGGCATTTGCATCTATACCCGCTTTTTGTGCCACATTTTAACCTGTGCCCGCTTTGCAAAAAAAATTGCAACGTACCCGCTTTTTCACATAACTTCAGCACACGGGACTGAAGTAGCAAAGGCAATCACACAAAACTTCAGCATTTTAGTAGTCGGGCCTGAAGTTCAGCTCTAGATCTGAAGTTTTTGTTTTGTAACTCGCAAACTTCAGCTCTAGAGGTGAAGTTTTATTTTATAAGTTTTTGTTTAGTAACCGGGAAACTTCAGCTCTAGAGCTGAAGTTTCCCGGTAAATAAAAACTTCAACTCTAGAGCTGAAGTTTTATTTTATAAGTTTTTGTTTAGTAACCGGAAAACTTCAGCTCTAGAGCTGAAGTTTGCTAGTTATAAAATAAAAACTTCAGCTCTTTTTGCACATAGGGATTTGCCTTCCTTTTTTTGGTTTTTCTTTTTCCCTCACCTTTACGTATGCCCTGCAATATCTAGTCTAGTACGCAAATACTGTAAAGTTCCTCCCCAGTTCACATTTCGAAAAAATAAGCTACGTACTCTTTATGTTAATGTATGAAAATGTACTGTATTTTCGTGCTTAAGTTAATCCATTGATAATTTAAATAGATGTGCAGTTGAAACAACACGTAAATTCAAGTGGTCATAAAATAATAGAGGCTTTGATGAGTTTAAGAAGTAAAAACCGTTACAGGTATGGATTCGATGGAATCAGATTGTAGAAGAAGAAAAAAGAAAATGAAGAAGGAGAATGGGAGGAGAAAGGGAGCTGAAGTTTTTTAACAAGTGGGTACAAGTTAAAAATTTTTAAAAAAATGGGTATAGGTTAAATGGGGGCGACCAAATAGGGCGCCCGTGCAATTTTTACTTCGTCTCGAGGATCAAGATTTTGTCTAATTTGATAACGGGCCATATGATAAACCTATATTGTTTTTTTCTTTTAGTGAATGTGTCTAGTTTTAATAGTTTTTGTGACTTTCGTCTCATACCCACTTAAAAGTACTCTGCTATATATCATAACTTTTTAAAAATGTAATGGCATTTGGTCATCAATAGTTTAGTGGTTAAATAATCGTTAATGCATGTGTAATTATTAGCAGTATGCTACTCTGTTGTTTGTAACTTGAAAACAAAATTTGCTTAACAGTATTTCATCTCAGAGAACAAGAGAATTTACCAAGTTATTATATGTGAAATGTGTTCAATATTTGCCTACTTTTTCACTTTATCCATCCCAAAGCATACAGTAATTTGCATTCACAAACCACATAATCTTGACCAAGAGAAGAAAGGCCGGCAGACAGAGTAAGTCAACAAATATTTCCAATATATTATTATGCTTGAAACAGTAAGAGCAATTACAAATTTCACAAATGAAAAGAAATAAAAATAAAGTATATATGAATGAATCTCAGTATGCTACTTGTTTAAAATTCACCTGTAAACTATTCTTAAGGTGAAAATCCAGTTTGTAGCCAAGTGTTGCTTGCTACTCAACTGTCTGTATACAAGCTCTAAAACAATGAGGTATCTTCTTCTATGTAACTGTTTGTAATCTTTAATTGAGTGTGAGCTTTAATCGCTAGTGTTTTGTACTAATTGTGTATTTTATGCGTTGTAGGAGTGATTCGGAGCTATGTAGATATTATGGAATGAATTCAAGTGATTTGGAGCTTTGAAATCTGAGTAAAAACCCAAGAAATTAAGCCGGGATTGTGTTCGGGGATCAACGGATGATAGTTAAGAACGAAACGAAGAATCGAGCGGGCATACGGCGTATTTTCTAGTAAAATGCACATAACTTTTCGCTCAGAACTCCGTTTGGGTTCCACAATATGTTGTTGGAAAGCTATTTAAAAGAGCTACAACTTTCCTGTTTTACGTTTTTTCGGATTCCCACTACCACGGCGCGGGGCGCGCCGCGCCTATGGAAATTTCCTGCAGCCTGTCACAATTGGTGATCTGAACCTCCCCACTACCGCCCTGCATGGCCGTCGCCCCATGCGGCGCGGTAGTGCAAATTTTACATATTGATTGTCCTATTTCGCGCGGGAGAAGGTGTTTTCGTCTGGGCCCGACCCTACTTGGTATATATACATGGAAAAACATTATTTTTGGGACTTTTGACACACTTTAGACCTAGGGAGAGCACGGAGCCGCCGTGGAGACCGAGGATTCGACCTAAGGAGGCAAGAACACATTAGGAGCAAGGCGGAGAATTCTTTTACGAGTTTTTTCACTTCCTTCTTCCTATTTTCATTATTGGTTACAAATTCTAGTATTGTAGTTATGCATACTATTATGAATAACTAATTTGTTATCTAGAGTTTTGATACAGCCTTTTGTAGGATAAATTCTTGTTATGTTTTTATATAATTGAGCCGTTGGATTTCTTTATTTGTTCAACTACATTTATATTGTGGTTGATTGAAGAGCTCTCAATCAGCTGTGCCTATTTAGTGTGTATTACTCGGAAAAGAGTGCATATTTAGGTAGTTTTTGAACAACATCACTCTTAAAGTATATAAGGGATCAATACGGAAGGTTTAAAGGTGGAATTAGGAATAACGAAACCTTGGTGCGATCCGAGTGAGCCGTAACTTAGTGCTAGCTAGCGTAGTTCGGAAGAATATGTCTGGTAATTAAATTGTGGTAGTTACTCGGGAGAGAATTACGACACTCAGAGTGCTCATGATCGGTAGAGAATACTTAGGCGAAATGATAGAAGACGTAGCGGGAAGGATTCCGAGAATTGAGGAAATCATAACTCTAGACCTCCTTAATCTTTTCTCCAACCCGTAGTATCTTTAGTTGTTAATCTACTACTTTAATTATTTAGTTAATTAGATATAAGAATCTTAATATTTATAGTTGAGGAATTGTTCGAGCTTATCTTCTTAGCAATATTGAAAAGCTGTAGCTAAACTTTAGTTCTTGCGGGATTCGACTCCGGACTTATAAACTAGATTATATTTGCAACGACCGCTTAGTCCTTTTATAAGGCATAGTTGGGCGTGATCAATTGTCTTGCCAATTCCTGGTATACCAATGATAGGAATGGTTTTCAACTCCATTAATATTGTTGAGATTATTTAACAGTTAGCCACATTGTAATTGCTTTACATTTACATAGGCTATTTCTTGTATAGGTCAATTTTGTAAACACTTAGGCTATGATTGTAATAAGTCAGTTAGGCTATTAGTTAGTGGAATTGGTTATACACGTGTATAAAGATACTGTACAGATATTTTTGATGTAAAAGGAATTCATTTCTCCTCTCCATCTGTTTCTCGAAGCTTCTCAGTGTGGATATTTTTCTTCTTCATCCATTAGAGCTCGATCTGAGCTTAGCTCCATTGTTGATCCTCAGTATTTTGTCATGGCATCAGAGCTTAGGCTCTGATTCGCTCTTTATCTAGCGTTTGAACATAAATTTAGTTGAAACTTGAAAAAATAATTTTTGAAGTAGTTTTAAAAAATAATTTTTGGAAGTTGAAATTATGTTTGGACGTGCATTTTATTTGAAAAAAAATTGAAGTTTTGTGAGTGGGAGAACAAGTTTCACCCAAAATCTACCCTAAACTAGATTTTGGAAACTTGAAAAATAATTTCAAATTTTTTTTAAAAATAGATCATTAATCTATCAACAAACAATGTTTTCAAAAAAGATTTGAAAAAACGGTGCCAAAATGTATGGCCAAACGGGGCCTTAGTCACTCAATTTAGTCGATCTCTGACAAAGTTTCATTCTTTTTTTTTCTCTTCTTCGAGATTTTTGATTCGCCTCAATTAGGGCAAAATTGCAGAAGGAAATTACTCCTACTAATTTTTTATCATTGTTCGATAGTGAGACGATTCCTACATTTTTGAGTCATGGCAACGGACAAGGAAACCCTAGATTCATCTAGACCTCTGTACATGCATCCGTCAGAGAACGCCGGAACGATGCTAGTACCGGTGGCTTTAGACGGCACTGGTTATAGATCCTGGGGAAGAGGAGTGCTTAGGGCATTATCAGTGAAGAACAATGTCGGATTTATCATAGGAAAGGTTAAGAAGCCAAATGCAACTCACACCACCTTTGATCAATGGGAACGATGCGATGATATGGTCACCGCCTGGATTCTCAACTCGCTTTCAAAAGATTTGGCTGATAGTCTGCAATATGTTAAGGATGCGAATGAGTTATGGCAGGAATTGGAAGATAGATATGACCAAACTAACGGTGCCAAATTATATCAACTTCAAAAGGAAATCAGTGATCTAAGTTAAGGAACTCTTGACATCACTAGCTACTATACCAAAATGAAGAAACTTTGGGAAGAACTTAATACCTTGAATGCACACCCTCAGTGCAATTGCACCTGCACTTGTGGAGCTAAGGCAAACATGCAGAAGGCGGAACAGGATAGAATATTAATTCAGTTTTTAATGGGATTAAATGAGGTGTACACTGTGGTGAGAGGCAGTATCTTGATGATGAATCCACTACCCAGCATCGCACAAGCATTTTCCATACTAATTCAAGAGGAGAAACAGAGGGAAGTTAAGCCACACAATCAATTTGTGATGGAATCTGCATCTCTTAATTCAAGTACAGGAAACAACAGTTTTAGGACCAATTACAACACAAGTGGATACAATACTGGAAATGTTGGAAACAATGCAAATAGAGGAGGATATCCTTCGAACAAACCTCGCCTATTTTGTGAATACTGTAAGAGGCCAGGACGTAGTAAGGATAAGTGTTTCAAACACCATGGGTATCCTCAGAATTCAAAGTATCCTAGCTATGGTAACAACAATAAAGGGAAAAGTGTTGCATCAAATGTGTTTGGAACACCAAATGATGGACCTAATGCTTCAGAAGTCGAAGGAGATCATCATGAACAGGGAAGACTTATGCATCACCTGACTCAAGAGCAATATGGACAACTTCTCAACATTCTGGAAAAGCTCCAAACAGGAAGCGCAGGGGAGAAGCCAGGAGACATGAAGCTGACTGGAGGAGTTGTGAACTTTGCAGGTACAATCGCTTGTTCTTCTTCTATTGAGCATGATAATCAGTTGCGTGAATGTTCTGATTCAAATGTTGATTCGTGGATCCTTAATTCCGGGGCCTCAAACCATATGACCTTCAATAAGAAATTATTGTGCAATGTCAAAACCGTAGTTTATCCTTACTTAGTTTCCCTATCCAGTGGATACAAAGTGAAGGTGACACTCATTGGTGATGTGATCCTTAGTCCAAAGTTCATTATGAAAAAAGTACTTTATGTGCCCAGCTTCAAATTTAACTTGATTTCTGTTCATTCCCTAACTGTGCAACTAGATTGCATTGTTGTATTTACAAAATTCTCCTGTCTTCTTCTACAGGGCCCTTCACTGAAGAGGCCACTGGAGATTGGTGAAGTGAAGGACAGCCTTTACTTTCATTGTACAAACTTAGCAAAAGTAACTCAATTCTACCTTCTGCACTTGACACTACTGCCTTGTCACATACCTCACACACAACACCTTGTGCATCTACTTCCACACCCAATAGAAATAAAGTGCAATACATCGTAGGAAAGACTGTTTCACACAATAATAATGAGTGTCCTGTTTCAAATGTTTCTTCTTGTCCTTCTTTTTGATGCTCATGAATCTTTTAATTATGTTCTTGTTCCTAATGCATCTGCTTATGAGAAATGCAATGTAGATATTTTGTGGAATAATAGATGGGCCATGTACCTTTTGTCAAAATGAGGGTCATCTTAGCCATCCCAGCTACCTTTGCACAAAAACAACCATTCTTCTGCTATGTCTATCCAATGGCCAGGCAGAGCAGATCTCCCTTCCCACAAAGTACCACAAAAACACTTAAATTTTTTAAATTGTTACATGTAGATCTCTGGGGTCCCTATCACATTCCAACTTATGATGGATACAAGTATTTCATTACCCTTGTAGATGATTACAGTAGGTCCACACGGACACATCTTCTCACTTGCAAGAGCAATGCCTTGCACATTATCAAAGCCTTTGTTGCTATGGTAGAAAATCAACTCCAGACTACCATCAAAACAGTTAGGACAGATAATGATCTGGAGTTTGTCAATGCTTCCAGCACCATGTTTTTCCAAAACAAAGGAATCATACACCAAAAGACTTGCCCTTTTACTCCCCAAAAAATGGGATATTAGATAGAAAACACAAATATCTCCTTGAAACAGCTAGAGTATTGTAATATCAATCCAAGCTACCTTTGCAATACTGGGGAGAATGCATACTTACCTCTACTTACCTAATAAACAGATTGCCATCATCCTCTATCCAAAATAAGTGTCCATATGAACTACTCTACCAGAAAAAGCCACTTTATTCACATCTTAGGAGTTTTGGTTGCCTTTGCTTTCCAACCACTCTCAAAACACACAAGGACAAGCTTGAACCTAGATCAACTCCACATGTCTTCATGAGATACCCTTTTGGAACAAAAGGCTACAAGGTGTTAAATCTTGTCACAAAAAGGATACACATCTCAAGAGATGTATTATTTCATGAAAATATCTTTCCATTTAGTTTAAAATCAAGTTTTAATGATCTGTCTTCTAATCTTGATAGTTCATCTTTTCCATTACCCCAAATACATTTGAATATAGAAAATCATACACTAACTGACTCCAGCATAAGTGATTCTATTACATCACCTCACAGTTACAATATGGTGTCACCAACACTTGTATCAGGGAACCAAGTCTCTGGAAATGCCCAGGATACAGCTGAATATAATATCCCATCCCTACAGTTTCAAGACCAAAATAGCCCACTTAATACTGCTAGTTCATCTGATTCTAGCCAACATACTCCAATCTTACCTCTAGAAAATACTAGACCACCCAGAATTCACAAACCACCCACATACTTGAAGGATTATGTGTATACACTACCCAACCAACCTGTGAATACCTCACCTCAAGATGAACAAAGCACTTCTTCTTTGTCCTTCAATACCTTTATTCCTGATGTGCAACCTATTGACCTTAGAGCTCTGGCTACTGATAGTCAACATTTGATAAAGAATGTATCACAAGATTGTGAACCTGTCTCATATGAGGAAGCAACTGTTGTACCTGCATGGCAAACAACAATGACTCAAGAATTTGAGGCATTGTACACCAATAACACTTGGGATTTAGTGCCACTTCCAGCTGGAAAGAGGGCCATATGATGTAAATGGGTGTATAAGATAAAACACAAGGCATATGGGAATGTAGAGAGGTTCAAAGCTAGACCGGTAGTGAATGGTTACACTCAACAGGCTGGAGTGGATTATATTGAGACCTTCTCACCTATTGTAAAAATGACAACAATAAGGACTCTGATTGGGGTAGTAGTTAAGAAGGGATGGAAAATGTTTCAGTTAGATGTGAACAATGATTTCCTTCATGGTGATTTACATGAAGAAGTATACATGGAGACACCACCAGTTCTACTTGTAAAACAACCTGGAATGGTATGCAAGTTGAATAAATCATTGTATGGATTGAAACAAGCTAGTAGGCAATTGTATGCCAAGCTGACAGAAGCTCTTTATTCTAGAGGGTATACACATTCTATGTTTGATTACTCCTTGTTTTATAAAGGCAAAGGGAATTCAGTAACTTTTGTAGCTGTCTATGTGGATGATGTTATTATCACAGGAGCTCACTTGGAAAAAATTACTAGCTTAACGAAGTTTCTTCATGAAACATTCAGAATAAAAGATCTAGGGAGACTCCATTATTTTCTAGGATTGGAGATACTTTATAAGGGTGACGGAGTTCTAATTAAACAGAGGAAATTCACTCAAGACCTTCTTAAGGAATTTGACTGTATAGGATGTACAACTGTGACTTCACCTCTTGATCCAACAGTAAAGTTGAAAGCAGATGAGGAAATATCCCTTTCAGACCCTGGCCACTATAGGAAACTAGTTGGGAAATTGAATTTCCTTATAGGGACTAGACCTGATATAGCTTATAGTGTTCAACACTTAAGCCCATATATGCAAAATCCTAGAGACACTCACCTAAGAGCATCAGTACATGTATTGAGATATTTGAAAGGGAGCTTATCTCTGGGAATTTTCTTGTCTAACAGTAGAGACTACAGGGTAAGGGCCTTTTGTGACTCTGATTGGGCAGCTTGCCCTGAAACTAGGAAGTCAGTCAGTGGCTACATAGTATTACTTGGTGATAGTCCCATTAGTTGGAAATCCAAGAAGCAATCTACTATTTCATTGTCCTCAGCAGAAGCTGAGTATAGAGTAGTAAGAAAAGTGGTTGGGGAATTAGTCTGGCTTGCATGACTGCGTGAGGAACTCACAGTACCTCTATCTCTACATATACTTGTTTTCTGTGATAGCCAAGCTGCGCTTCACATTGCAAAGAATCCTGTCTTTCATGAGCGGACCAAACACATAAAAGTGGATTGCCATTTTGTACGAGACAAGCTTCAAGATGGGCTGATCTCACAACATTACATCCCTACTCATGAACAGCTTGCAGACATTTTTACTAAATTTTTTCCATGCAACAAGCATACTCTTCTACTTGGCAAGTTGGCTGTAGGTTCCCCACCTCCAACTTGAGGGGGGAGGGGGTGTTGATATTATTTAACAGTTAGCCACATTGTAATTATTTTATATTTACATAGTCTATTTCTTGTATAGGTCAATTTTGTAAACACTTAGGCTATCATTGTAATAAGTCAGTTAGGCTATTAGTTAGTGGAATTGGTTATACACGTTTATAAAGATACTGTACAGATATTTTTTATGTAAGAAGAATTCATTTCTCCTCTCCATCTGTTTCTCGAAGCTTCTCAGTGTGGATGTTTTTCTTCTTCATCCATTAGAGCTCGATCTGAGCCCAACTCCATTGTTAATCCTCAGTATTTTGTCAAATATTTCTATATGGTCCTCCAAGCCTACAACTGCTTCATCAATGATTGGGGTACTAGGTTTTGATATTTGAAAATCACTTGGGACATCCTTATTTTCCATGAAGATATGCGCAAATTCAACAATTTCCTTGAATAGCTTAATTTTTTTCAATGACATTGTCTACATGATTCCATTCAGAAGAAGGCTCAACCATGAACATGTCCACAATATACTTAAATTTGACAAAATTTGCACCTGGAAAATTGACAACAATGCACCACATTTTCATCCAACCAAGTTAACATACTATACCAAAACTACTGAATTACTCCAAATGTTGCTCAACTGATTTAATTTAAAAATTTGTTTATCAGAATAATATCCAGCCTCCAAAGATTGAAATAGAACTGCTTATAGCATATATACCTGACTGAGCTTGGAAATTACAACAACAACAACAACACAACAACAATTTAGTGGAATCTCATAAGTGGGGTCTGGGAGGGTAATATGTAGGGGTGTACATGGACCGGGTTGGTTCGGCTTTTATCAAAACCAAACCAAACCAACTATATCGGTTTGGATTGGTTCGGTTTTGTCGGGTTTTTTGGGTTTTCGGGTTTTTTTGTTACATGAATATTATTTCAACCTTACTTAGTTAAAATTATAGATAAAGCTTTGATAAGTGAATATATGTTTAGTAAATATGGAAAAAGATTGACAAACATATGATCTATTAAAATATTCTAATGGGAGAGTTTTTTTAGTAACACATGATAGTTATTTTCTTAGTCGTCTAACAATAATTTTTCATTAATTTACGCTTTCAAGGTTAATACATGAGAGGATCCCAAATATTTCTACATTTTCTAAAGAAAATTCACTATAAAGTCTTTAAAATATAAATAAAATTTATATATTTATATGTCGGTTTGGTTCGGGCTTTTTTTACTCAATACCAAACCAAGTCAAACCAAACCTAGTCGGGTTTTTTAATCGGTTTGGTTTGGTTTTTCGGTTTGGTGCGGTTTTCCGGTTCAGTTTGAACACCCCTAATCAACTGTACCTCAATCCCAAACTTGTTGAGGTTGGATATCTGGATCGATTGTTATCCATTGCGCTCTATTAGGTTAATTTCATCTTCATACTGAATAATTATTTTATAACGGTCAATCAAGAACCCTCTAAAATCAGATGTTCCATAAATCTCGCACCTATTCCTATATGGACCTACAAGTCTGAAGATTTTTTTTTAAAGAAAGAACTCTTGGCGATAGAGGGGCAGAAGCAGATAACGGGAAATGGCAAGCATTGGAAACTCGCACCTTGGCTTGTAGTAATATGGATCCTCTTGCTACTGCAATAAGGGATCAAATGATGTTTTAGCTTAAGGCGGCTACCTGCCTACAAGAGAAACATGTTTTACCATATTTGAGGCAATTTGATCATCAAGAGAAACAACACTAAAGTTAGATAGAGGAGGCAATTTTTCTCGTCTAATTTGCAAGTGCCACGAGGTTTTAGGCTTTTCGCTAACATTTTTCGTTTGTAAATTGTGTTATTCACTCTGTTAATTGGTCTTAGTCGTATTGCCCGGTGATGAAGTGAGAATGATTAGAAAATCTTGGGACCAAAAATGCCACTTAGACTATAATTTGATTCATCAAGAATAACAGAATCTGAAAGATTCATGTTCTACCAGCTATATTTATCCAATTAGTTTAGTTTAAATGGGCCTCATTTTTTTGTACTCAATGAAAGACTGAATCTTAATCATTCAAATTTCAATCATTATGTGCATTTGTTGTTTAGGTCTGAATCTTAATTATTAAGTGCGTTCGCTTTTCTTATTTCACAACCACTTAATGGGTCTGAATATATCTGAATGATTGATATCTATGACAATGTCCTAATATTATTAAGATGCTATCATCTACTTTTATTACTTATCACCACCACCACCACCCTCCACTATCCCCATCCCCAATCACCACCATCACTAGCTATCATTACGATCAACCACTATTACCACTCAATCACCATCGACGATCACCACCATAAGCCACCATTATATATTGCCAATCACTACTACCGTCACTATCACCATTAGCAAGCACTGTCATCCACCACAAATATTAGCCTCCACCACAAACTACCACCATCATTAACCATTATTGCCAACCATCACCACTAGCTACTACCCACAACTACCATTATCAACCAAAACTAGCAACAACTACCACTATAAATCAAAATTACCACTAAATACCACCCCTAGTCGGCACTCAAAACTATCACCGTTAGCTATTACCACTACACCCAATATTATATTATTTGAAAATATATATACTGTTGATATAATATTAGATTAGTTTGTATTTTATTCAAATAAGACAAGTTTCATATATTAAGATGCTTGAAAAAATAAACAACCTTAATTATCTATGTCATGACCCAAAATCCATCTAGTCGTGATGGCACCTAACCCAACTCGCTAGGTAAGCCAACTAACAGTCAACACATCTAATGAAATGATAAGAAATCAACAAATGAAATAACTGAAATTCACATACAATAACCCAAAGATTGGTAGTACAAGTCATGAGCCACTACGACTTAGAATTACAAAGCTGGTAGCAAATAAATACAACATCTGTTTGAAATATACATAAACAGAATTCAAATCTAAAACTTCCAAGGATAAGTGGTAGCTATATCTGGAAGGCAGGTGTATCTTCAGTGCCATCTTCTGTCATCCACAACGTCTCAACTCCAAGATCTGTGCACAAGGTACAGAAGTGTAGTATGAGTACAACCGACCCCATGTACTCAACAAGTATCATAACTAACCTCAGCGAGGTAATAGAAGCAAGAATTATAAATGATACTCGCCAATCACATGTACATTTCATAAATTCCAACAAGAACAGAACATTAATATGATCAAATCATGAAATCATAGATAAAACCACCTTGGTGCTCTCAATTTTCTCAACTTACTCTACTTAGTCAACAATCCAGCATATAAGGAAGATATGCAAATAAATCAGGTAATCAACCAAGGAAATTGGAAGTAAAGATGAAATGCGATAACCAAATATCAATTTGTTGCAACGCGCAACTGGATCCAACTAGAAATCATAATACGACTCTAAGGCCCACATCAGAATCTCAATAACCGAACTAAACCACTAATCACCTTTCCCAAGGCCCACATCAACAAGAAACCCATCAGTTTCTCACAATCCGCATGTACACTATCAAGAAGACACATGAGATGGTGAGCCTAGGGGGATGGATCCATA